ATCAACGTGTGACAGTGGGAGAGCGTAAGGTCATTGACCTCACCGGAGTTTTACCGCGGTTCAGGCTCCTAATGACACATGGTAAGTTTAACTTTTTCTCACTTTTGTTCATATTTTTGCCACAGCTGTGTTATATTAAGTTGCGGTTATGTTGTGAAAGTTACATCTCAAAGAAGGAAATCTAGTTTTGTACGAAACCAAATCAGCACTATTCTTGTCTGGCCAATTGTTCTAGCTAGCGACAGTGGTGGTGAAACGTGATTTAAATTTAAACTGTTCAGTAATTGTTTTGTATACGTTTCAGCAAATGGACAAGCTGAAAGCTTACGAGCAGCCTGCATCCTTTCTCTCGCTGTTTTCTATATTGCTACTGTTGAGATATTTTGTGATCCCGATATGTTTTTTTCTGTTGTTGTTTTTAGACTTTGCTGCAATATGTCATCCGGTGATGATGAAAGGAAAGGAGTATCCGACTCTGTCTGGTTCTTATGACTGTACCAAAAATACTTTTTTAAAAAAAAAAAAAAAAAAAAAAAAAAAAGAGCATTAAAAATAAATGACGAAAGTACAACTTATTAACTACTGTTCACCTCTTTCATATCAAAGAAGTGTATTTTTTGCTACACATATTTTATTTGTGGGCACTGAATAGACTGTGCTTTTAGTACAATTGCCACCTAAAAAGATTTAGTAATTTACTGGTTAATTACTTATGTTCAGTGTAAGAGGTGGGTGATTAATTAGACTGTTGTTGTTACACTTAACCTTTCGAGATGCGATGATAATAACATTGTTCAACAAAGGCTTAAAACAAAGGGAAATCAGCTGTGTACTCAATTCATATGGGCATAAAATAAGGTAAGTCTGCATTTCAACAGTTTCCATGACAACTCACTAAAATTACAAACCATGCAGTTTTCCTTTAATATAATGTAAGTCAGTGTTGTCTTTTAACAGTGAGAGGCATCTGAGACGAGTTTTAAAACTTCTAGGGTTGAAGCGAAGATGCCCCCAACGACCTTTTACTGAAATCCACAAAGCAGTGGAGGTAAGCGTTAAAACATCAGTGCAAAAAATACATATTTTCCTGAAGTCTGTGTTATCAGCTATTGTAGAAACAATAAATGTTATTTTCTGTAGTTATTTAAAAAAACATTCAATTAATTGTTTGTTTGTTTTTTAGAGTGAGATGAAACAGTGGTCTCCTGAACAAGGAATCAGGGCAATGGTAAAGCGGGTAAGGGATGTCAGAGGAGAGCGGCCTTGTTACAGGTTGGTTTCCATAGTGTGTATTTAATATAATTAAGTATTCTCTTGTTTTACTGTTGAGCTCAGAGTAAAATCTATTGTTACTGTAGAGACGATGTTGCTAATATAATGAGGGATATGGATGCAAGTGGTCTTCAGAGGAGATCTCCTGGAAAGAAGAAAATTCCCCGTCGGAATTACATCAGCTGTGGTCCAAATGACACCTGGCACATTGATGGTATTTATTTTATCTTTTCAATTAACCTTCCTGTCATGTTTTGATGGTACTTCTGTCGAAACAAATTGTAATTTTTATTTGTTGTTTCATATAGGCAATGATAAACTGAAGTTCTTTGGAATGTGGATACATTTGGGGATTGATGGGTAGGTCTGAATATGGCATTCGCTACTTAATTTATTATATTCAGTGATAGTAAAAAGTTGCTTCAAGATAAGGATGTGAGGTAAACTGAGGTGTTATCTCTCCTGAGTAGTTTAGGGCAGGGATGGGCAACTCCAGGCCACGAGGGCCAGTGTCCTGCAGGTTTTAGATGTGTCCTTGATCCACAGCTGATTCAAATGGCTAAATTACCCTCACAACATGTTTTGTAGTTCTCCAGAGGCCTGGTAATGAATTAATCATTTTATTCAAGTGTGTTTACCCAGGGTGATATCTAAAACATGCAGGACACTGGCCCTCGAGGTCTGGAGTTGGCCAAGCCTGGTCTAAGGGACCAAGATAAAGTATGAATAGTGAAGGAGGATTCAAGATGGCAGTTTTTAAAAGGTTTATTTCCTGCTAGTCTTAAAGTTCCATTTCAGACTGGCAGTTAATTTCAGGGAGGGCCAAGACCAACACAACAAACAAAACATCCCTGATATAAAGTAAACAGAATTTAACTCCAAAGAAAATAAAATGCACAGTTTACGATAACCTACCTAACCAACATATAAACAGGAGAATACAAGGGATTACAAAACAAAAGGCAGCTCTCGCGTCAGTCTGAACACAGTCAAGAGTCACATTCAATTCCAAAGGCATGTAAGCCTACACAACTATGGCAGTCAAAATGGCCGGAGGAACCAGAAACAACGCCTAGACAGAATACAATGGAAAACCAGCATACTCTTGGGGAATGTAA